TTTGATTTTGAAATTTTAGCAAAAGTCGTTATAACCAATTTATGAGATTGAAAATGAAAAGCGTGGGGCGCATGCAATACAAAGCATTATATTTAATTGACAATAGTCAAACTACATAACATAGACCTAAAATTTCTACAGAGAAAGTACGAGTTTGACATCGATTTTAAACGGTCGTTATTCATATATCCACATTTATACATATATTACCCTTCATATAAATTCAGGTCTATTACATACGCCCACGCTTTTCATTTTCAATCTCATAAATTGGTTATAACGACTTTTGCTAAAATTTCAAAATCAAAAGTTATCAAAACAAATTCTATGGGACTGAGAAATATTATTTTCTACTTTTTAGTCCATTTATAAAAGCGTTGTATATTAAAAAGTTTTTTTTTTATATTATTTATTTTCTACTTTTTGTCTTGTCTGTATAAAATTTTGCGATAGATATTAAAATAATTCAACGATATTAGCACCAATTAATTTTATTTAAAGAAATGGCGTGTCGTCTATTTCCGCTGTAGCGAACGTAGTACATAGGGCGACATCTAGATGTCATCTACCTCGTCCTATGCACTACAGATGTCGCCCTATGCACTAGACTTTTTTACAGGAACTTTGCAAAGCAAAGGTTTTATGGTGTCGGACACACAACATTGAAAGTTTCTGGATCCACAACATTGAAAGTTTCTGGAGCCACAACATTGCAAGTTGATAAAAGCGTTGTAATAAAAAGGAAACCTATTTGTCCTACGCTTGTTCACGAATGCAGAACTATCACTCACGCACATTAACCTTTTTGTCAACAGCAGAAAAATTATACGTACGTCAACTGCAGTATACCCGGGTATGCCCATTAGGGTGGTCCAAAAATTTATGTAAAAAAAAGTAAAGTCGGAATTTGTATGCTCTCATCCCCTAAGATTGTTCTATACCGAAAAAATATACACCTCTTTTTTTATTTTGAAATCAGTTGTAGGTCGCTCAAAGCGCTCAAAGTTTTTCATGTATTTTATATTGATAAAAATCAACTTTTCGTAGAATTGGTAAAGAATTCTTGAAAATCAATATTTTTCGACCGGAAACCCCTGTTTCTTTTCAGGAGATTCCCAGTAATAATACCTAATTACTTTTTTAACCAATTTTTCATAGTAACTATATTTTATATGTCCGCCAAACCCCTACAAAATGCCATTTAGCATTGAAAAATGGTTAAATAAACAATTGGATATTGTTATTGGAAGTCTCCTGAAGAGAACCAGAGTTTTCCGATCGAAAAATATTGATTTTCAAGAATTCCATACTATTTCCACGAAAAGTTGGTTTTCCCCATACATGGAAAACTTTGAGCGACCTCTAAATATTTTTTGAATTAAAAAAAATAGGGGTGTGCTTTTTTTCGATATATAACAATTCTAGGGGGTGAGAGCATTAAAATTCCGACTTTACTTATTTTTAACCACCCTAATGCACATACATTTTATATGGGAAATGACATTGTGTTGTTAAATTTGTTTTTAATCTGGCTAAGTCTGTATTGTTATTTTCTAAAAAAATAAATTTATTTTAAGTATGTAAAACAAAATTTGAGAAATATGTTATTTTACTGTATAAATAATAAGTTTCTTAGACCACACTTTATGATCGTGGGGTTTGAATATATATGTACGCCATACCAGGTGAAACCGGGGAAGCTATTCTGACAAAGATGGAACAACTTGGTATGCTGTACCACCACAAGCTGCTAGTTTCAAACCCACAACATACTGAGGTCTGCAAAGAATGGACCAGCTCGTGCGGAAGAAAGATATATGTATCAGTATTAACCCTGAACGGGTAATATTTCTCGATTTAACGGACACAGTTGTTCTTTTTTCAAAAAAAAAAAAACAAAGGGGCAGTGGTAAGCAGTGCGCGCTTCTACTCCGCGGGGCCTGGGTTTAAACCTTGGTCAAAGAAACATCACAAAAAAATTGAGAAAAAAGGTATTTTTCCTAACAGCGCACAGTGGCCAATTTTTCGAAAAAGCTGGCCAAAAGACGGAGCGTAGTACAATTGTAATCAAACCTTGTGTATTCGTCTTTAAGGGCTAACTATAATATGCATAAGCTGCCGTAACTGACTGTCAGAAAATGGACGAAAAGTCTGTCAAATACATAAGCAACGTAGTGTAGACTTTTAGGTGGCTATATTTTACTTACATGAGTTCAGTGTTGCCACATTTAATTAGATATAACAGTAGCCACTATCAAGCAGTTTGTTGTAGATCACACAATTATAGTAACCTAGAAACGCCGAAGAACTGTTCGCGTTGCGAAAATTTCAGGATAATCTGGTGTTTCTGTAAAAGGAAACGCTTACGGCCCACTTCCTAATATGAACGCTTAAAATAATCAGATTAGCAAAACTAAGGTAGATAAGTGTCGGCCGCTGTGGTGTAGTGGTAAGCAGTGCGCGCTTTCACTCATCAGCACCTGGGTTCAAGCCCTGGTCAAAGAAACCTCGGAAAAAAATATAGAAAACCCGATTTTTCTTAACAGCGGTCGCCCCTCGGCAGGCAATGTCACCCCTCCGAGTGTATTTCTGCCATGAAAAACAGCTTCTCATAAAAATACAATCGCCGTTCGGAGTCGGCGTAAAACTGTAGGTCCCTCCCCTTTGTGTACCCACATCAAGACGCACGCCAAAAATCGGAGGAGAAGCTCGGCCAAACACTAACATATGTGTAAGTGCCAATCTATTACTATTATTATTATTAATTGTTACATATATAATACAAACGACGCCTAATAAAAAAAAAGCCAGCATGTTGTGCAAAAAACTCGTTTGTGCTAATCATTTTACTAATTTTCCGCAATGCAATAGATGTAACTAAAAAGTTTAAAATTTCGAATTTTTCATATTTTTTATTTTACATATATCATTCTATCTCTATCTAATATATAAAAATCTCGTGTCGTGTCCTCCGAAAAGCCTCGACCGATCTTTATGAAATATTTTGGGTATATCTGGTATGTATGAGACGCGGATTTAAAGTATATTTCATACAAACTAAATTATTCATACTGCATATCTCTGGAAGCGTTCATGGTAGAGGACTGGAACTTGGTATGGAGATATATAAAATCAAGTGCATAGTCATGAAGAAAAATTTGCGGTGATTGGAAAAAGGCGCGTGGCGCCTCCCATACAAACCGAATTTTTTTTACTGCATATCTCTGGAAGTGTTCATGGTAGAGTACTGGAACTTGGTATGGAGACATATGAAATCAATCCATTACTCTTTGAGAAAAGGGGGCGTGGCGCCTTTCAATCGTACTGAACTATTACGTATCTTTGTGTGTATATATAATTTTTCTGTACGTGTGTTTGTGAGTGAACCCATTTTAAAGAAATTCTTTGTGTTTGAGTTGGTCTTTGGATAGTTAGATTCACAGTTTCGCTGGATTCGAGTTATTACTAAAAATCTTACTTATGATCCGATATTGCTTATGTTTGGAATATGTATTGGTATAGTAAAGGGAAATATTTCTGCGAAAAAATTTGCCTACCAAGTTCGGAAGTCGAGTTATTACTAAAAATCCTATTTATCCTCCAATTTGACTCATATTCGAGATATGTATTGGTAAGGGCAATACTATTGCAAAAAAGAGCCGCCGGGTAGCGCTGAAGTCGAATTATTACGAAAAATCGTCAAGTGAGAAAAAGTACCATGAATGTCCGATTACATCGACGTGCTGTACCGCCAATTATGTCGAGCTCCCGTGTGTTCCGATTGGCCCAATGGACGTGAATTGCCAATATTACTGTGTGTTAAAGGTCCATTCGGATACACCAGGATTAAGTTGTACAGGGGTTAATCTCAAATGACCACCGCTAAATTAACCATCAGAAATATTGTGCTTCTAAATAAGACATTTGAGGCATTTCTGAAATAAAGCTATGTATGTATATTGGATTTTTGTAGAACAGCAATGCTCTGGCTGAGATAACTATATATGGGTACAGTTTCACGGACAGATTCACCATTGAACCGGATCATTGTTTCCGCCAGGGAGAGAAGAGGAAAAAGTTTTTCAAATTTATTTCGTTGTGCAATTAACCGTGCTCTGAAACGACAGATCATTGGATAATTTCAAGAACTTCGTCACGGACATACACTTTTGCTAGGTTATTTAAGACGGCAACGGAAATATGCCTTCTTACAACCATGAAACCGTAATATTAGCAGATAAACGCATCACTGGAAATCGTGACCGTGAATTGTTGGTGAAAATGCTGGACCAAAATGTTTCAATAAAAAAATAATAATTTTGGGCAGGTCGAAGTTCGCGGGGTCTGCTAACAATATTATATTAGCCGTCATCGATTCGCCAACAGTTAGCCAGCGGCGAAACGAACGAACTCAATGAGATACAACTAATCTCGCTATCGTCTATCCGTGCTAGCTATCTTTGTTGTTGCTTTCAGATGCAAAATTTTAGGAATTTGATTCGGAATAAAGTATACTTTTCAAATGTATCAACATATTTGCATGCGTTTTCACATACATACCCGGGTATGCAGCTGTTGATGTAAGGGGTAGAAGTCGAAAAATGGTCAGATCTCTAGTCCAGGTGGTCCAATCCCACTCAGACTTTTGTTGAGGATATCATGAAATTTCAAGTTAATCCTATGTATAGTTTCCAAGATAAGCAATTTGAAAACGCAAAACATACCCGGGTATGTTGCTGTTGACATAAAGGTTAACGACGATTTCGTGATTTTTTCTTAAATCCGTTCACACCCACGCATAAATACTCGTGACACATTCTGTCACATAAAAATCACGTACCTTTCCCATCTCTAATTTAAACACACGGCGCTTCTTCTGCTTAATTGTTGAAATTAAAGGTATAAAAAACATGTGCTGTTTACTTTTATCGTTAACTATAAATAGGAAGGATTAATAATGGGGAAGTAAATAGCTGCAAAATCCTAAAGTACATACATACCGTATTGCCAATCATAAGCGTAATTAAAGTAGGCACCCATGGAATGTGCATCGATGGCGGCGATTAACAGCAAATACAATCCCAAGCACAAATCTGCAAAGGCCAAATGGCCCATTAGGAAACGCGGCACGGATGGGCTTTCGGATCTGCAAAACGTTGTATACATATATGTACATATATATATATATATATATATATATTACGTAAAACTTTAGTTTTTCCACTACAGTACAAATATGTGAGAGTGTAAAACGCGCAGTAGTAAAAGGTAATGAATAGTAGGTAATAGAGCTGCAAAACTAGCAATGGCATTCTTAGTTTGTTTTTGTTTAATTGATTTCTCATTCCTTTACTCAAGAGTCTAGCTAGTTTTTGCTACTCTTGTGAAGAAAGGTTTTCAAATCATAGACGAATTTTAAAAACTACGGAAAATGTTGCACGCTTAAAAACTATTTAATTCGCTTGGGTAAAGTCATTGGCCTTGAAAATGTTCTACGTAAGGGAAACATTGATCCTTATCCTTTATTAATAATAATAATAATTATTTAATCATTCTTAATTTCTCTTAGGATAACTTATCTAACTCAGGCTGTCCACAAACAGGCAACAAATCGATACGATCAGTTTAAATTTCAACAAATTGACATGTGTGTGGCGTTGTTTGCAAAAATATTGAATGTTGAGAAAAAAAATTGCAATCGGTTGAGTGCAGGAATGATAGAACACAAGATTGCCTCTGAGTTACGTTAAGTTGCCATAATTACACTTTTTTCACCAATACTACTTCCAAGATATGCGACACACAATTAGGGCATTCCCTTAAACTCGAAAAGTCTTAAACTGTGTAAAACTCGTAAGTTAACGAGACCTTTATGGGACGCCCCCTTTGTGAAAATGTGTAAATAGGTGCGAAAAGTGACTGTTTGATAGACAACAAGGATTTTGTGAAACAATTCTTGTTTGGAGGTATTTTCCATAACAGGCCGCCATCTTGTGAATCAAAAACTCCGAAAACTAGCAGAAAACTCAAGTTTCTACAGTTAGTGCATGCAATTCATTCTATTTGTTCGCATATTATTTTTATTCAATTGCTTTCAATATTATAAATATAATACGTTTTTGTATAAAATTGTCCGCCCCTCGGTAACACTGAAGTTTACGAGGTCGTTTGCGCATCAAATTTGCCTCGTAATTTAACGAGGGACTAGTAAATACAGCTCTAAACCAATTTTAACAGTTCTTTTACGAGGCTCGTAAATTTACGAGTTTTAAGAGCTTTACAAGGCTTTTACGAGTTTAAGGGAAGACCACTAATGCTACTTGCTATGGACATCTCACTTGTTCTTGTCATTGCAGAGGTATTGACTAAGTACTTCTTTTGAGACCAACGATTCTCTACTACTTTTTCGTGATTCTTGTTAAACTTTTTTATACCTTTGGGGTGTTCGGGCGGAATGGAACCATATTAATTGAAACACATATGTACATACATACTTTTATCGAGCCATATTTTGCGTTTATATCGTAAGCGACAACTTATATTTTTTTTGTTAATAGGATACAAATATCTACTAGTTACAACGTCCCAAACAAAATCACAAAAGTTTGAATATGTACCGTTACGGACAAGAAACAAAATGCATTTTATCGTTTCATTAGGTTTGTTCCACACGAGCCCGCGGGTGCCGCAAACAGCCCACAAAGCGTTCCTCACGCTAGAAAAATAGGTTATAGAGAGCGAATACCTTCCACTTTTGGATCGCAAATGTCTTCTTCTTCGTGCCCGTAATGGGGCTCATATACCTATTGCAGGGTTACCACTGTAAAACTTTTTTCCTACCAAGAGCTGGTTCCAAAACCTACCAAATGGCTTCTTTGCTACCATATGGCGGTTGACAGCATTGAGTACAGTTATTTTTGCTAGTTTTTATACTTAAAAGACGATTTTCAGGTAAAAAAAAAGATCAGAATAACTGCTTTTATATACAAATAGAACACCAAAAAAAATTGGTGTATGCTTTTAACCAGACCCACCCACCGAATTCGACCCGGTGAATTCGAATCTGTTTCGACTTCTTAATTTCGAGCAAATTGCGAAAAACCAGAAACCGTGTCTAGGAGCCTCTGGGCTTGGGGCAAAATCTGCGCGCTGCGGGCTTGCCACTAATTTCTTCGAGTTGGTGTTAAAAACTTTGAGATTCTTTGATTTACTGAACTAACGGTAAGTTGATTTCTTCTTAATTTTCGTGTATGATAAAAACAATGGCGTATTCTGTGAACATGTAGATTTGTTATGTACAATGCATTTGAATCGCTCTTCTAGTGTCATTAAAAATAGTTTACAATATTGTCATTGTTTAAACTATTGTCGATTCGCACCTGCATTTTAAAGAAAAATATCTGATTTATAAACCTGCATTTACATCCATTAATTCAATCACTTGATATCCCATTACATACGCAGTCGATAAAACTTTTTATAGCGCATACGGAATACAGAGAATTGCTGAAGGTAATTGGTAAAATTCTGCCTATACCAGTAAGCAAAGATGGCAAACAATTGGGCCCCACCTACATACTCATGTGTAGTTACAAATTAAAAAATATTTGCTTTTAAAAACTTTAATTAAGCTTTTGCTTTAAGCATTCAACTAACGCCTGTAGAAATAAACTTATTGCAAATTAGATCATATTTCAACTATTAAAAGCAATGTTTATTCACATTCAAAATAAGAAGAGGTCATAAAAACAAAGCAATCTGATTTTTGTTTACTTTTCGTTGCCTTAAAAATATTTGGAAATACGGGTATAATCGATACTTTTTTTCAAATATGAGTACTGACATTTATTCTTCTTTGTAGTATCTACATATGTATTCTAAATGAGTGCTGGTATCGATACTTTTCCAAAAAGTTCTATCACCAAAAATGGAGTGCCAGTCACGGTTGCCACACTACAAAAAATTTTCTGACCAGAATTTACAAACAAAGTTACCTCAAAGTTACCAAGTAAAAAACAATGTTTTATTATACAATAAACTGTAAAAAGAAAACTCGTGTAATTGCCTTAAATAAGATATGGGTACAATAAATAGTTTTATTAAAAGAAAACTAAACAAATTCATATTACATATGAGGCCAGGAAGGCCAGGGGAGCCTATCTACAAAAATTTTTTTTAGTAATATGAGATAGAAGGATATATAACAAATAAATGCGGTCTTTTACTAAAAAGTTCATTGCACCTGCGTGGTGCTACCTATTATAGTAAAAGAAAACTGAAAGGGCTATTACCGTTTCGATTCTGATAATGCATTTTACGGTGCACCTCAACTTTTTTTGAAATGTCAGTTAAGCTACTGTGGCGCTCAAGGCCTCATACAATACATTTACACGGATTCGTTCCAAAATAAAAACATTTACATAAGTATATAAATACATTTTTATTCGATCTGCGTAAATGTACAAATAAAGAATATAACAAAAATTTGTGAAACAAAAAAAACATAACTATTTTTCAACCAACGCGTTTTAAAATACGCTTTTCATAAAAACGCGCCTTAAGCTCTTGTGTTTTGAACGGGATCTTAGCCTCAGAACAAAAAAGAATTATTTAAAAAATCAATTTAAGTGCATTACCGAAGCACTAAAGAGCCCAAATCCCCCGCACAAACTGCTGTTCAAACCTCCTTTTTTCATTTCTTCTATATACATACATATATGGACGAAAGATCTGTCAATAAGTTTTGGACGTGTGCATGGGCGTAGGCAGAACGAAATTTAGGAGAGGACCTCCTATACAATTTTTTTTTTTTCAAAACCAATAACTATTACTTACTAAAAAATTTTTTATTACAGCTTAAAATATTGTAACCAATAGAGGTATATTGTAAGCCAGTGGCATAAAATGTTTATCAAAACCAATAAGAATAATGTTATCTGATCACACAAAAATTATCATACTCAATTGAGTTGCCTATTTACCTACATATATGTACCCTACAGAAAATCTGACTAGCCTAAAACTAGGCCTTTTGCCGACAGTACCAGTTCTCAATACCCAAGCAATGCTTTCAACTGTCCAGTTTTACACGGCGATGCCATTGGCGGTGGCAATTGTCGCCCAGTGCATTACTTTGCAACCAGTTTATAACCGGTTCCATTTTGGACAGTTTTTGTTATAAGAAAACGTTTTTGAGATTCGATTTTTGGACATTTTTTTCGTTTTTTCTTTTCTTTTACAGATTCCGTTTTTATTCCTTTTATGAGCATGAAATGGTATTATAACTTTGGTCCGATGTTTGTAAGTACCAGAATAAGAAGAGATAGACCCATAAAAATGTATACTTAAATGATCAGAACGTCGAGCTGAGTCGATTTAGCCATGTCCGTCTGTTTGTATGCAATCTAGTCTCTCAGTTTTCGAGATATCCGGATAAAATATGGTAGGTGGATATATTTTTATAATGTATTAATCATTTGTCGGAACCGGAAGAATCAGACCACTATAACATAAAGCTCCCTTACAACTGATTGTTCAGATATGAGATTTTTCGTTATAACTTCTTCATTTATGCAGCTAGGAACATGAAATTCCGCACTGTTTTCAATAATTATCAACAGAAAACTTACAGTGAAAATAACAAAGATCGGGGCACTATAACCTGCAGCCCCCATACAACTGATTGTTCAGATATGAGGTCTTTTATCATAACTCTCCTCCATTTATGCAGCTAGGAACATGAAATTTCGCACCATTTTCACTCATTATTAACAGAATACTTACAGTTAAAATAACAAGGATCGGGTGACTATAACATATATGTA